AACACTTTCTAAATGGATGCCAGAATGACTTCTTAAAAAGAAAAAAGAGGATGGTGTTTGAAAACGTTCATGAAAAAACATACTCTGTTTTGGCTTAGCCATCTTTGGGAATAATAGCTAATACGAATGTTTTTTTTTTCCCAGAGAAGAAAGCACTCATATTGCAATATCTAGACTTACACTAATCTAAAGGGATGTTGGAGCAAGGCACACAGGAATTCAGCCATGTCACTCATCTTCTCTCTCTCTCTCTCTCTCTCTCTCTCTCTCTCTCTTTAACTACAGATAATGACATGGACCTGGGAACTCTCCAAAACAACCTCAACAGCACTTTGGACAATGTTTACGTGGATGACCTGGAATCTGATCACCCCGGGACCCTTTCCAATGGAAAGCCTGTCTGTAATGGTGAACAGGCCAGTCTTGTGAGTGGGGGTGATGCCGTCAAACATTCTCAGCCGCTGCTCATTCAAGCCAATAGGTATGTGGAGATGGAGCAAAGCATTGAGAAAAGTTCTTCAGTCATCTCCCAGGATTATGTGCCTTGGAAACGAGCATGGGATAATATTTTTAGAATTGCGAATCATTCCTAGAACCTGTTTCCAGTGCTAGGGCTACACTACCATAGGATAATAAAAGTAATCATTTGCCATCAGATCACTTCTGATTTATGGCAGCCCTTTCTGGGTTTTCTATGTAGGGAGTACTCAGAATTAGCCTACCATTCCCTTCTTCTGGGGGCATCCTGGCGTGGAGATCGAGCAAAGCATTGAGAAAAGTTCCTCAGTCATCTCTCGGGATTACGTGCCTTGGAAACGAGCACTGGCATAATATTTTTAGAATTGTGAATCATTCCTAGAACCTGTTTCCAGTGCTAGGGCTACACTACCGTATAATAATAAAAGTAACCATTTGCCATCAGATCACTTCCGATTTATGGCAGCACTTTCTGGGTTTTCTAGGTAGAGAGTACTCAGAATTAGCCTACCATTCCCTTCTTCTGGGGGCATCCTGGACTGTGCAGCTTGCCCAAGGCCACATAGGCTGGCTCTTCTCTCAAGAAGCACAGTAGGGAATTGAACTCCCAACCTCTGGCTCCACAGCCAGATACCTAAACCACTGAGCTATCCAGCAGCATAGAGATGGGGAAAGTACTTGAAAAAAACATTGTCATTTTGAGCAGTTTTCCAAGTGTAATCATACCAAAGCTTCCTCCACCTCAGTTGCATGACCTGGGGTTTAAGATTAGTGTTTTCATTTGCAATGACATTCATGATTTAAAAAAAATAATAATATTATTTTTGGCCACTTGTACAGTCCCAGCAGAAGTAGACCCAGTGCTTCTACATGTATATGTCACCTTCTTGATTGGCTATGGTGGGGAGAGTGCTAGGATAGACTTCCAGCTGAAAACCTGCTTAATATTATGAGTCCAGCCCTGACAAATCTGTTCGAAGCTACAGTTTGGAGTCAGTGTATGGCTTTTCTGCAAAGTGTATAAGAATTTTTGAGAGAAGCAAACAAAAAAATAGTTAACCAATATTAGCAGAATCTGTGGATGGTTAGACTGGTTGCGTCGTCTGAGGGTGCCCAGCATTTTTTTAAAATCATGAAACAATGGACTGGATCTGGCCCATTTGAGACCACATATATATTAGTACGCAGCTGTTTCCTAAGTAGCAAGATGAATTTGCAAAACATTTCTCATACTTGTAGCTCTGTAGACATGTAGCCATTCACGCTCCATTGCTGCTGTGCACACAGAAAAGGTCTAGAGTTATGTGTCAGGCAATTGCTTTGTATGAAATCACTGGGAAGAAAAGGCAAAAGGGTGGGTGGGGGGTTAATGATTAGCTTCCTCGTCTGCCCTTGAGGCCAATGCCATGGTGAGATGAGGTGCAGCAGGATTGTTGAGTCTGCCGACTCTGGAGTTTATCTTGGCCCCTTTGCAAAGAAATGCTGGGCTGCTAACAAGGTGTAAGATAGCTGGGAGGTGTGGACGGAACTTGACAAAAGTGATTTTCAATCAGTTTGGCTGTGAATATGTTATGACTCTTGGAAAGCGTGGAAGAAAATGAAGGTAACAAAGCAGAATTCAGCTTTGGAAAAATATCGGCATTTAGGTTTCTGATCCTTGTGGTAAACTTGAATCTGTGTGGGCAAACAAGGGATGAACCATTTGGATATATTGGACTTCATCTCTCAAAATTCCCCAGTCAGAATTCTGGAAGCTCCCATCCATAGATCCTCACTAAACAAACACCTTGAGACTCACCTACATTTCGTTCACCTGGAGAAGGACCTAACTCAAAGGCTCCATGGCCTCACTCCAGCATATCTACCTTTTCGAAAAAGAAGCTGCCTCCATTCTACCCGGGAATCCTAGAGCTTTCTGGGAGGTGTAATCTCACCGATTTGGATTGCCTGGGTATGGAATGTGAATGACCCACAATCTTGGATCTCTAGATCAATTTTTTTTAAAAAAATTGTGCTCTCTTGCTCAGTGGACTGGCTTTGTTCACCAGCCCCAAAATTTAATTCTTTCCAAGGATAAAGCCTTCATCATAATCTAGTGTTTTTGCTTTTTCTTTAGAAAACTGAAAGAGGAGCAGCAGCAGCAGCAGCCACGTGCCTTATCCCTGCCCTCCATCCCAAACCCTTTTCCAGAGCTCTGCAGCCCTTCCAACTCTCCCATCCTCAGTAGCCTCTCACTGGGGCCAGGCTCACAGCGAGAAAGTGGTTCTCATGTAAGTGTGTCTGTCTGTTCACATTTTAATATGAAGAAATCAGGTGATAGTTCAGTTTGACATGGAACCTTAGCCCCCTCCCCCAGGTGTTTTGCATGATAATTCTCACAATCCCTTACCACTGGTCATACTGCTTTGGTTGGTAAGAGTTGAAGGCCAAACATCTGGAGGTCCAGAAGTTTCCCACCCTTTCTTTAGACCAGTGGTTCCCAACCTTGGGTCCCCAGATGTTCTTGGACGACAATTCCCACTAGAACAGCTAGTGGTGAAGGCTTCTGAGGGTTTTAGTCCAAAAATAGCTGGGGAATCAAAGTTGGGAACTACAGTGGTGCCTCGCATTACGATGTTAATTCGTTCCAGCGAAATCGCTGTAGAACGAAAACATTGTCAAGCGAAATTAAAAAGCCCATAGAAACACATTAAAACTCGATTAATGAATTCCTATGGGCTTGAAACTTACCGTCCAGCAAAGATTCTCCATAGCGTGGCCATTTTCGCTGCTCATGCAGCGGGGAATCCGTCCCAGAAAAGAGTGGGGAGCCATTTTTTTAACCCGGCGGCCATTTTGAAACCCCCGATCAGTTGGCTGAAAATCGTCGTTTTGCGAGAATCGGTTCCCGAAGCAGGGAACCGACCATCGCAAAGCAAAATTCCCCCATAGGAAACATCGTTTTGCCATCACAAAAACTTCGTCGTAATGCGGTTTTGTCGTTAAATGGGGCGCTCGTCTTGCGAGGCACCACTGTACTGATCTAGACAATAGTTTCGCTTTGCTGGAGTCAAGAGGGAATATGTCAAGTCAGTGACACTACAGTGTCCAATTCTGAAGACTACAGCTTAAGAAGCATATTAAGAAGCTGGAATATGAACAGAAGAGCGCAAATAAGGTGGGAAAGTTGATAAGGAATAGTGGAAGGAACTGGTTATGTTTAGGCTAGAGAAAGGAAGGATGAGAGGTGATGTGATAGACATCTTTAGATATTAGAAGCCACTGGCAATGGTGCGGCTTAAGGAATAGTGGAAGGAACTGGTTATGTTTAGGCTAGAGAAAGGAAGGATGAGAGGTGACGTGATAGACATCTTTAGATATTTGAATGACTGTCAGCTAGAAAGTGGAGCAAGCTTGTCCTGTGTGGCTCCAGAAAGTAGTATCCAAACTAGTGAATTCGCAAGAAAGAAGATTCTAGCTGAACATCAGGGAGAATGGCTGAAAACAAGAGCTGTTCAGTACAGTACTGGAATGGACTTCCAGTGGAATGGGCTACAGGCGTGATAGACATCTTTAGATATTTGAATGACTGTCAGCTAGAAAGTGGAGCAAGCTTGTCCTGTGTGGCTCCAGAAAGTAGTATCCAAACTAGTGAATTCGCAAGAAAGAAGATTCTAGCTGAACATCAGGGAGAATGGCTGAAAACAAGAGCTGTTCAGTACAGTACTGGAATGGACTTCCAGTGGAATGGGCTACAGGATGGGTTGGAACTCTCATAGGAAATGTTTAAAAAGAGGCTGGACGAAAGAGATCGGTGAGAGAGGTTGTAGCTGTGGATTTGGGTACTGACAGCAAGTGGACTTGATGGTCCATGGGATCCCTTCCACCTCTACTGTTCTATAATTCTACACGCAGAGGATCTTTCCCCCTCCACAGTCAACCTGCAGACAGATGAGACTATAGAGGTTTGGCGTTCAGGGACTGTGGGGGATGTAGAGAGATATACCATGTTCATCCTACCAAAGGATGAAAGATCAATGTACACTTCAAGTGGAGGATCTTAGCTGAGGTATGAAAAGTAAAATAAGAGTTTCCTCTTGACCGTGAGGGTCAAAGGGTTTGGAGTTCCAGCGGCTCCAAACCCTTAGCCCATAGATAATCCAAAATGGAAGCCATTGCAAATGCTTGCCCGGGGTGTCGGAACTCAGCTGGCAAAGTACCAGGATGTAGTGGGACATGTTCTAGAACAGTGGTCCCCAACCTTTTCTGAAATGCAGACCAGTTGGGGAGGGGCTCTGCGTGGGGGGGGCAGGGCACCCTCTGCACTCATGGGTGGGCAGGGCGCTCGCTCAGGTATGTGCAGGTGTGCAGGGTGTGCTCGCAGGGGGCACGCGCTCATAGATGCATGGATGGGTGGGGTGCGCTTGCGGGGAGGCAGGGCGTTTGCGCATGCACAGGTGGGCAGGGTACGCTCAGAGGTGGGCAGGGTGAGCTCTCGGGTGTGTGGGGCACCTGTGCATGCAGGTAGGTGGGCTGTGCGTGTGGGTGGCCGTGCGTGCGGGGAGTGTGCGCGGGG